TACCATCTCGTTATTTTCTTTTGTGTCGTTAGATGGTTTTTGTCCTCGGCCTTTTGTGTTGCCTAAAAGGTAAAGAATTGGTTTGGGCGAATACTGTTGAGTTTTTATTTTATTGTTTGTAATATTCTTCCAACATGACGTTTGTGAGACGAAACCTGTATTCAATTAGGCACTGGCCTTTAAGCTTTTGAGCAGTCCTCTTTGCTAATAGGATTGCGCATCGCATTTGTCGTGCTCTTTTTTGCTCTTTTGTTATTTGTTTAAAGTATTGTTGTGATATTGCAAATATTTGGTCTACCTTGTGTACATCTAATTGGTTCATATTACTATTTGGAAGCAATGATTTGAGATTATTTGAATTACCTTGACGAACGGTTAGTGGTGTGGTAGAATTAGTCTCTGCCTGAGAAATACCTGTAAATGGTGTTGAATAAATTTATCAGTGTTTTTGTTGTTCGAAGTCTGATATTGAGAATATGACTATCTTATTGGTTTAGTAGACAGATATGTTTACTTACTTATTCCGTGTATCTGGTTTTCTCGCCTCCCTGTAGATGTAGTTTTGGTTTTTTTTGTTTGTTTGCCTGCTGACTTGTTGTATCGTTTTCTTTTTCTTGATTTTTCATCATCCATGGCTTTTGGAGTTTGACCTTCAAAGGGTGAAATATGATAGAATGACGACTGAGTTTTTTTTATGGTACTTTTGTGAGTTTAGATTTTTGGGAGAAGTGTAACTGTTTTGCAACATTAACGATGCCTTTCACTGTGATAAGTAATTGATTTTAGTTTTGTTTTGGTTGAATTTTAATTTGTTGGTTCCATAATTATTGTGTTATATTTGTTGGGGTTTTTTGTTTATATGGTCGAATAAAAAAAAAACTCGGATCCAAGTCGTTTTGCAGAATAAAATAAGTAATGCCTACTCACGGTTTTGTTTATTTTGATTTTGTATGTTGTGAATTCTGCACTGGGTTAGTTTAGTGCGTTCCCATGATAATCACAATTTAGATTTTGTTTAGTGGATTGATTTTGTGTTGGTTATTATAGTATAAAGTCTATATTTAGCCTGTGTTGGTCGGAGCAAATATAGTGAAAAACGTGTTACTGAGAAAATTTTTTCTTTTATGTTATACTTAGGGACATATGAATCGTGTGTGAAAGGTTGAGTCTAGAAATGCATAAACGTGTTGCATACGGTTGGTTTTTTTTCATACATTATTTTTCATTTAGGCATTTTGAATCTGAATTATTTGATATTATATACTGATGAAACCTATGAAACGAATAACAATTTTTGTGTTTTCATATTTCTTTTGGAGTTGTATGTATATACAGATAATGTTCTTGTGGTAATTTTTTTTTTTGGCAATTTGAGTATAAATAAAGTAGCGGAGGTTGCTACTTACTAAGTTAGTGACATTTAGAGGGACAAAGAGACAAATACACAATCTCTCGTTTGTTAAATGCTACTGACAAAATTATACATACATTACCGTTTCACAGATATGTGCAATTCCTTCACCTTGGTGTGGAATTGAATCTGAATCACTTGTGATGTACTTAGCAAAGGATATGTCGTTTTCCGTATATTAAGTGTAGTGATTGTTGTGTGACACCCAAATGGCTGATAATGATAAATATTATGTTTCTTGTACTGAAGGAGATGGGAGTTGATCTTGGTTATCTTGATTTGTGCGTAGAAATTTAGCAACTCATGGAATGCTCTGTTAGACCATTTGCTATCCTGATTAAAGATCTCAGCCTCTTTGCATGGAGTATTGTTTACTGGATTTTATAGCTGTCAAGGTTAGAGCTTGCTCTACTATATTGGTGCGAATACTGTTTAGCACTTCAATTATCTGCATAACTGAGGTTTGTAGCCATACTTCTGTACTGACAGAAAATATTTTTGATTACGTTTTTCTTTTTTGATTGACTAACTTATTGATTTACGGTCTATTTCCATATATTTTATATGGTAAGATTATGTTTAGCAATGTCCTTTTGTCAAGGTTGCTGATAGAAGCTTGATCCAGGGATCTTTTATGTCGCCACTCAGATTTCTAGAGTCGAAGCACAAAAATCCTTCAAAAGAAGCAAACAACCTAGAATGATGGAGTACTATGCATGTATTGAATGAATAAAATATTATATCTCTGGGAAGTGAATGTAAGAGTTGGATTTCTTAAAATTGAAAAGCTCCTTACATAATGCAGAAATTAAAGCAGGGAATGAAAAAGGAAAACATAAGCAAGTTTGGTCGGAGGTTGCGTGAGCGCACGAGCAAACATTTTCAGGAAAATTTTGGGAAAACAGGTATCCAACTATGAAGATCATAAGTTATATAATGTAGATAAACTTTTTCATCTTTTTGTAGTAGAAACACTCCGCACATGTAGTGTCTAGGTCGTTTAGGTGACAGAAGTTGTATGGCTTCATCTTCTCAAGAGAAACCAAATAACATCTCTTTCTCCCCACTCTAATCCCTTGCGATGAGGTTTTGATACTTTTCCAGCAGGCATCGACAATGTCTGTATTCTCCTCCCACTTTAGCTGATTTAGATATGTTTTCCCTTCTGCAATCATGTCCCTGCACAATAGAAGAATCGCATAGAGGTAGATTGCGTCTTTCTTTCCGGCATCAGCTGCTACATCTAAATGGTGGAGTCCAACAGTGGATTGGTTAAGGAGGAAGTAACGGAGGATGCCTTTGATATAGTGAGCGTCTGGGTTATAGTGAGCTAGACATCTCTTCAGAACTGGGAAATATTTGACTGTAAGGAGAGGCCGCTTGACCAGTGGAGCCAGGTTGACGGTTGTGCAGACACGTTCATCGTGGGCTGTTGCGCCCAATTTTTTGCATGAGCGGAGGCAGAAGTGGTAAGTTGTTGTGTCTGTCGCACCGAGCTTCCTTACTATAACACCAAGGAGATCTTCCGGAAGTGATTCGAGACGGCTAACATCTATTTTGTTTGGATCCATTTTTAGCCTCAAAAAGTTTTGTGTGTAGAGTTGTTATGTTTTCCGGTGATATATATAGGTGATTCATATGCGCCGCATGGCTTTTACGATTCCTTAACATCCAAATGAATTGTATTTATTGTTATTTTTGTAGTGGTAATTTATTGGAGTGTTATTAGCCCTCTCTTTAACGTTTGTAACTATCGAAGTGGTGGGGTATGACATTATGGGTTTTTAATCTGAATTCAATAATTAGGATGCGTTTTTTTTTCCTAGGAAGGTGGTCATTAAGAGGTATTACATTATTCTATCTACAGACGATCAAGGTTAATAAAATGAAAATTTTGTTTTCCAGTCTCCAAATTAGTGTAAATTATTTCAATTACTTAACCTTCATGTAAATATATTGCCAAGTTGTTTTTTCTTTCTGTAGACGATCAAGCTTAATAATACAATAATTTTGTTTTTATTCTCCAAAGTATTTTAAATAATTTCAATTATTTAACCTTCATGTAAGATATTGCCAAGTTGTTTAGTTATATAACTTATACGAGTTCAGTTAATTTGTTATGACCCTTGGTGCAACTATAGTCAAAACTTCAGTAAATGTGTATTTTTGAAGGCCAAAATTCATATTAATCCAATAAAAGCGTTGATAATTTAAGAATGTCATGTTTTGTTTTCAATAAACATTTTAGGTGATTGTTTGTTAGCTCTAAATAAATTGAACATGACAGTGTATAATTATATAAAACGAAGTAACTTGTAATCTCTAAATTGACAATGGCTAATTTTGAATAGAGAAGAAACTTGTTATTTCTAAATTGAGATTCACTTTGAATTATACATACAAATTTTTGTTATTTTTCCTAAAGTGAGTAGATTTTAATGAGTGTGTTATTGTTTACTATTCTGAATCGAAAATAATTATCACTAAAATGAAAAAGCTAAAATTAGAATATGTCATAGTTTAATTTTGAAGNATGTTTATTTATTCTTTATATAGGTCTATATAAATTCAACGNGACAANGTATANTTTTACATGTGAAGAATCTTTTATTGTTTAAAATTAGTATTGGCTGTAATGTTGTTATGAATAAGAATTCTTTATTATCGAGGGAGTAATTGTCTTAAAAATAACACCTATTTTAACAATTAGTTATATGAAGTCGTTGGAAGCTAATTGCCTTTAATCCCTTTATTATTAAATGTGAAATTGTGTTTCACCAAGAAATTAAGAAACATCATCGACTGAAACAAATGAAGCAAAGTAGCTGAATTTGAAATGCAAACATAATTGTCTAACCCAAAAAGGAGGAAACAACATTTAGTACGGAAGCAAATGAAGCAAACATGATGGGATATAATTGCAAATACGAGGTAGGCATTTTTCGGCGGTACTATTCTCGTCCGCGTTTACGGGTCTTCTCTTTGACACTAACATCAGACCCTGTTGATGCTTGCGGAGTGATACGAACCGTAACTGCTACAGAAGTTGTACATGTGTCCAAAATCGGTCCACGTCTGTTTCCACCAGCCACTAACTCCTCGTGCAATGGAATTAGCATTTGAAAACTCAGTACGTGTTTCTGGTTCAATAATAGAGTATGAGTAGGAGAATGTGTAGTACGTACATGTGGATCATCCTGAGGAGGGAAATCTTGAGTGACTGTTGTTACCGTGAAAGTTCGATGTTTGGGTGTGAAGTTGAACGGAGTGACGCGTATCTGGAAGACGAATTGTTTTCCCACAAAGTTGTGTCAAGCAGTCTGGAAGTTCATTTTCATGATCACCAGCAGCCTATATTTGAGTTGATTAAAAATAGACTGTTAGTATTTAGTCAGGTTGTTAAGAGGGTCATATGGAGTTTATTTTGAACGAAGTACTTACCGCCTCAAGAGTAAGAGCCGATGCTGTTTTGGTGGTAAGCTTGGTCATTTATGTGTCGAAGACCACAAAAGTTGCAGCATCATGACCATCGCGGACTGCAAGTTCTACACGGTACCTACAAAAAGGGTTGGGAATATTAGTGTGTCAGTTTGAAGCTTTGTTGCTTCAGTGGGTGAATGCTATATTGGGGGATCAAAGGAAGGAAAAGTGGTGAATGATACCTTATAACGCCGGTGACATTTGGAGACACATATTTGCTACAGCGTAATGCGCTCCCATATTTGTCAAACTTTCGGCTACACCCAGCACATGAAACATATGACCACCCATTCTTTTGAAGGACTCCAACGATTTGTGCTTTGCAAAGGAAGTCAGCCTCCTGTGTCTGTTTTTAGAGGAAAGTAAGTAAGTGGTATGTGTGAGAGATGAATGTTAGATGGTGGTGTTGTAAAGTCAGAATGACCTGTGCATTGGTTTGTGATATGTAGCTGTGTAATTCTTTTATGGTGACAATTTCTTTCTTTTTGATTCCAGCAAAGGTGTCAGCCAGATTGAAGGGTGTAGTAGTGTCAATTTCCAAGTTGCATTAAGAAAGTATAAATTAGTCACCAACATCAAAGGTAGAGGAGTATGAAGGTGACATATATTGAAGAAGCTGGAATACAAACTAATCTTCACGAACAAACATATGAGATGCCTAGAGTAGCTAGAAGCAGTAATCATCAGATATACAAACAGAGAGACCATCAGGGCACTATGTAGTTGCACCTAATCACATTTACGAAACTAAATTATACTAACAACACTGAAGGGTAAACAAAATACATGTACATATACTTGTGTGGATAAATATGTGTTCCGCTTCACTATCATAAAACATTCTCCAATCCCAGTAACTGTTCTTAGTTATAAATATAAGCAATGCACCTAGACGATTATGTACATTCTGTATCTATAGAAATTATGGGAGCATGGATTATGTGTATATATATGGAGTGTATGGGAGAACATGCATGCAATAGATGGTTGTATTAGAGGGTTTTCTAATTAAAGTTTTAGGATTTGGCGACATAATTTACTATTATGAAAGTTGCCTTACCTTTTTGTAAATTGTTGAATGGCATCAATCCTAGTGTCGAAGAAGAATCTGGTGGCAGCTGTGGAGTTAAGGTATAGGTTCCCTGTTGAGTATACATGAAACAAAGGTTAGTTTTATAGTTGGAAGTGGATTGTTGATCTTTTAAAAAGGTTTTTCAAGATGAGGTCTTAGCACCACAAACCTCCAAATAGTTTAGGGTTAACTGTGGTGACCAGCATGACAGAGTTCATGGTTCCACTTGAGCTAAGATGACCATGGAAAGTTGTAGCTGCATCATCCCATAGAGAGAGGTATACGGTGATAGATCTACGAAGATAAATGGAGTAATGTTAAATTATAGTGAATTGGAGTAGATGGAAGAAAGTGAGTTGTGCTCACGTATCGACCAGGAGCTGGACGACCAATCTCTGTTTGGAAGTAGCATCATCAAGGTTCGACCCTTGCACAAAGCGGATTTGGCCAACAACATCTGTGGGGGAAATTATAGTTAGTAAAATATTATTAGGTGTGATGGTCAAATCCGTTAGGTTAAGAGTCGCAATAAGGAGAATTACCAGGGAGTTCCAGGTTGGTGCTTGCCAGAGCTTGGAGGTGGTCGATTTTGCGGAGCATGAATTTCTCCCTTTTGATTGTTGCGGTGGCATCGGGTAGTTGAGCAATAGTGGTGGTCGGAAGGAATCGAATGACCAAGGGATGGTCAGTGATCTTGTAAAGGTTTGTGCAACGGCCGACTTCGAATCTCGCAAGATTGAAAATGGCACCTTCTTGTAACTCATGGCGGATTTGTGTAGCACATGCAGCATGTATGAAGCAATGGATAACTGAATCCTGGAAAACAAAGATATGAAGGGATTAGTGATAATGATTGTAGTTGTTTATTTGAGATATGGAAAAGGTAGTGGAAGGTGTTACCTTCTCATCGAGGAGGAGGAAGACAATGCCCAGGAATTCACCATTCTTCTTGACGTTGCGAGCATCCCAGAAACGTAGGAGTCAACCAACAACTTGTTGAGTGGAGCGACCATGACATAAATCATCGAAGGTGACATAGTTAGCATGAGCAGGGATTGCAACGGCATCAAATTCAGCCATAATCAGAGAGAGTGGAAGTTGCGATAAAGTAAACAATTTGGAAGCTGATGGAAGTCGAAAAAAGTGTTGGTTTGGGGTGAAGAATGGTCAATTTATAGAGTATTTCTTCCTGAATTCTGAAACGGCAGGGATCAAGCATTAAAGAGATAGGAGGAAGGTTGGAGGTAGTGGAGAGGAAGATTGAAGGCGTATAACTTCAGTATTGAAGTTTCAAGTTTATGAGAGAAAGTGGAGTAGTGGGGAATATCTTTAATTTTCTTTAACGGTTACAATAGTGTCAGATCGATATAGGGTTTGAGGATACGGCGACTCCGTGGGTGTGCAGAAGTAGATGACTCGCGTGATTGTTGGCAAGGGTGAACAAAATATGGGCTAGGTTTAGTGTGGTTTTTGGTTTTCCAAATGGGCTAATAGATTAGGAAGCCCAAGTGATGTTTACAAATATGCTTTGAATGAAGGGGTCCATTTGAATGTATTTTATGAAATGGGAATTAATTTTATGGAGGTTGATTTTGTGAAGAACGGAATAGTGTAATAAGCAGTGGAGTCCAGTTTTAATAAAATGAAGCTGACGTGGATGCCTTAGATGGAAAGAGTGGTTTGCTATTATACATATAGATTCAGTTTTCTAAAGTTATCAGACAAACCATTCAACACTACATGTAAATCAAAGTACACATCTAAATCAATAAAATATTATATTTAAAAAGATAATAACCTAATTGTTTTTAAAATACCTAAAGCAATAATTAAATATTTTAATATTAATTATTTTCACGAATGAAGTTTAAAAAAATATTTTGATTAAAAATCATGTTTAGGTTTCTCAAAAGAAACCACAACCACTTAACGAACAAAAAAAAAACAATAATTTTTAAGAGGGAAAGAAATGATATCAAAAGATTATAGGATTTTCTTCTTTACTTGCACGTATGTTGTTGCTTGCTCTTAGCACTAAATTCTTCATCTTCGATAGAAGCTTCATTCTCACATGAGTCACGTCTTTGAAGACGTGTCCTCATCGTTAGTCTTCTTCTTTTCACATTTACTTTTCTCCCTCCGTTATTGTTAAGAATCAACACCACAATCCCAAAACGTGTTCATGTATTTGCAATAATGATTAGGAATCATACCTTAATTTGTGTTCTTCGGATAATTGTTATTCTCATGAATGTCTTTGAATGTTAAATTGAGCTTAGA